CTAAAATTTTCTCTATCATTTCATGAATCATTTTCCAAAAGTCCTTGGCTCTACTGCATGTCCACCACATATGATAAAAGCTCCCTACTTTCTTTTCACATTTCCAACACTTATTAGAAACATTTTATACATTTTTGTTAATTTCTCTGGTGTTACATACCATCTGTAAAACATTTTGTATATATTTTCTTTTAGATTTATAGATTTTGTCATTTTAATATTTCGTTCCCTAATTTGTGACCAGGCACTTAATTCTATATTATGTTCTATATTTTGAGCTCATTTTACCATGCAGTCCATCACAATTTCATCTTCCATTTTTTGCTCCATTAAATTGTTATATAAACCTTTAATCAATTTTTCCTCTGAATCCAGCAACCCCTTATCCAAAGGTATTTTGTCTTTCTGAAAGCATATAGCTTTATCTTTTACATATGTTGATTTCAACAAGTTTATTGACCACCAGCCTAAGATAATACCTTGTTCTGCCAGTTCATCTTTGTTTTTTAGATTAAAATCTCTTATCTAATATTTTGGCATATCTCTCATTTGTCCCTTGGGGTCTTCTTGCCAAATCAGAGAATGCTTCTGGTGGAGCTACCCATAATGGTATCTTTCTGTAATGTTGTACCTTAACTGTCTTCCAGACCCATAATAAAGCTCTCCTGATCAGATGTAAATTAAATGTTTTGCATTGCCTATCATCTTGGTACCATAGGTAGGCATGCCAGCCCAGTCTTAAATCATGCCCCTCGATTTTTAAGAGTTTCTGATTCCTCTTCGTGGTCTCTGTGAATGCACACTAATGGGTTAACACTGCGCCTGCTAGAGCTTTGTGCTAGTCTGAGTAGGACTGCCCCCTCCCATCCATGAGGTCTGTCCGCCCTTCAGGCACCTCAGTTCTTTTTAACTGCCGCTTCATTAGGTCTCCTCCTAGAGCTGCTCCTCTTTCGCCATTACGATTCCGATACAAGAACAAAAATCCTTTTTTCCTCTCTTAGGACAATTTCTCCCATCGTTGTTACAGTAAGAGACTATATTCCCCCTCCTTCTACCCCTTTCCCCTCCGTTCTTCTTCCCTTCCCGCCATTTATTGCAAAGAAGCCTCTGTTTAAGAAGTGCGTCAAGTGCTTCAATAAGATCTCTCTCTCAGACGGCCATAAATACTGCCTTTTCTGCCTCACGGAAACGCCTCAGACTTCCTCCTGCCAGTTTTGTAAAAACTTTACCAAGAAAGCTCTGAAACTGAGAGAGCAACGTTTACGATCCTATCTTTGGCAAAAATCCCTCCAACCTCCAACCATGGATGCTCTGTCTACCGCTGAGCCTCCTTCACACCCTTCCGCTCTGACTAGCACTTCTCCGACCCCCTTTAAGGCTTGTCTTAGACTGAAGCATAAATCTAAGGCGCCTTCATCAGCCAAACCAGCTTCGGTGGTGCCATCGATTCCTCCTTCTGATTCCACTAAACAGAAGAAGAAAAAACCATATTCTCCGGCATGAGCCACCCCACTACCGGAACCCCAGTACAGGACCAAGCTACCATCTGCATTGACTCCTCGGAGGATGTGCTGATACCATCTGCTCAGCCTGAGTTTCCTCCGCTGGCTCAACTCCCAGTTTCACTAGTCGAGGCGGATTTGACCATGGTACCATTGTCTCCGCATTTGAGCCCTCCTTCGACCGATCGCTCCACGTCTGTGGGCGAGTCGGATTAGGCTTCTACGGTACCGCAAAACCCTCTACCACGTAAGAGGCTAAGGAAGGAAGGACACTGTAGCGTTCAGCCCTGCCCTCACCTGTCCGTCACAGCTGAGCAGTG